GTCACTCCTCTTGTGCAAGGACTAGCCTGGACTCAACACTTTGCCTTCAATTTTGAAGGCAAGAGTTCTTTTGAAGGAAGTGACTTCGAGCAATGCAAACTTGAAGGGCTGGAGCAGAGAACTTTATCTCCTAGGCTTTGGCTCATTTGGAAAGCAAAAAGTGTCTCCTTGTAGCTCTAAAAATACTGTGCTCATGCAAAATTCATGCTAACCATGACAAACAAGTTGTTATGAAATGGATATTAACATGGGTAACCTCTCTTAATGAGTCAGCCTTGCTTTTGGAATGATAAGGCTGTGAGAGAGGGAGGAGAGGCATGGAAGCTGCAGTTTTATTGGCCACACTGCTCCCTCGCTCTCCCAGCGCATGGCTCAAATTAAAGGAAGCAGTGCCATGGCAGGCTCTCTAGATTTTCTTGGACACGCTGTGTCAACAATATGACACAGATGTCGATGAATATTTTATCATTTTCTCTCTGGATGTCTTCGAATGTTTTATCATTCACAGGATGGGGAGAGAGACTGGCCTTTTCCTTTTGCATTTACGACATGCCCAGAGCTGGGTCTATTAAATTCTTTCTGAAATCAGAAATTAGGTCTCGCTCTGAGCAATATTTATGGTCTTGATGAGGAGCAAAAACACAGAGGATTCGGCTGTTTTTCATTGGGGACAAAAGACAAGAATGGGGGACCATGGTTAGCATGGAGGGAACTGTGTATGCCCTCAATGAATGCGCTTAAAATATTCCAGCCCAAGTGGGAGGGATGATAAGAGACATGTTCTGCTATTCACAGCAAGCTGTTTTCTGCTGCTGAAGTTTTGCCATTTTGCTGGGTCTGATTGTGGGTCATCATAGCACTTTTATTGCAACATATCCTCTTGGTTTTTGTGCTGTCTTTGACTCTATTTTTTTTGTAAGTTGATTAGAGAGGCTTTTATAAGTGAAATAATAATTATTATTTCTTTTGTCTATCCCAAAATTTCCAACATTCAGCGTCTTTGGATGATCCTGGATTCTAGTATGTATGTATGTATGTATGTACATATTTTTTGACAAAGTAATAATCATAAATAAATAAGAATAAAAATGTGCACCCCACCACCGAGACCATACCATTGTAACTATCCAACCTCGCAAAATTTCAACACCTCTTGCGATGGTTTGACGCTTTTCCATTTTAACATTACAAATACTACAAACACCCTCCATATCTCCTCAAAATCATTTCTCCTGCATATTCCCTGTCTTACCTTAATGGCGCATATTAATTTATCATTAACAGCTATATCCCATACCTGTTATTATATCATTCTTCCATTTTATATTCTGCTTGCCCCTTCCACTTCCTAGCTATAATAATACGTGCAGCTGTCAATAAATTTGTGAGCAAGTCCTTCATAGCCTGCGAACCTTCCACCTCATCGTAAATTGATAATAATGTTACCTCTGGACTTTCGGTCAGCTTTAACCCAGTGATTTCTGTTATCTCCTTAAATACCCTTTGCCAAAAACAATTGTACATATTTACACTCCCACCACATGTGAACGTAATTCCCTGTTTCCTAGCACCGCCTCCAACATAACACTGAATATTCCTTGTTTATTTGATTTTACCTGACTGGTGTCAAATACCATGAGTTCTAGCATTATGAGAGGAGAAAACCATCTCCCTATTCACTTTGTCTCCACCATGCATAAATGCACACACCTCTGTCATTGTTCCCACTAACTCGCCTTTTCTCTAAACTAAAAAGCTCCAGATACTGTAACCTTCAGTAAACACTTTTCCCCATCATCCTTTATTTTGAGACTTTTCATATCCTCCATTTGCAATTTGCAAAGGCTATCCATTGCTCTCTCTCCCCAAGTCATTACTTTTCCAGAGCAGCATGCCTTCTAATTCATAATGTCACTGAGATGGAGGCACGTGGAAGATAACAGGTCAATGTCTGGGTTTTAAACGAGAAATACCGGTGCTTCTGAGTTTTGTTTAAAAAGTTAATGTTCCTGAAATGAACAATTTTCAGTTATGTTTCTTCTCCAGCTGTTGCAGCAGCATTAACAGGCTCATGCCTTTTCTCCCTCAGCCTCATTTAATGACTGTAAATTACACCTGCAGCAACCAAAACACAAGTTTCGAGGCGTTTGGCAATTGGGAGCCATATGGCAGCTAAAAGCTCATCTACTGTTCATGAGAATTAATGTTAGAAGAGAGACTGTGTTGGGTATGTGGCGGGCGTCTTTTTATAGTGTATCATGATGTCTGCTAGTCTGGACATTTTACATGGCTTATTTTTTATGAATCATGGCATTGGTTTAGCTGGTGGAAGTTTGATATAAAGGGCGGACCCTCATGAACTCTCTGTGATCCTTGTACTTCTCCTATCTCATACATGACCTGGAAAGAACAGCTAACCTTCTGACCCTTATAGCTGCAGGAAAGATCAGAGGACTAATCATTGTATTTTCTGGGAAGTTCTTTTAAAAAGAAGCTAAGCATGAACATGCACACAAAGCAACAGGTTTCTGTCCCAATATAATAGATAAGAATAAGAATAAATAAATTAAATAAATAAATTTATTATTTATACCCCACCCATCTGGCTAGGTTTCCCCAGCCATTCTGGGTGGCTTACAGCTTATGTAAAAAAATGTGAAACATCAGACATTAAAAAAGAACTATGGAGACTGTATAAATAACTGAAATATTGTCATCCTAAAACTCCAGAGCAGTCTTTCCTTGACACATTGGACTAGCAAATTCCTGAGACAATTTCCTCACCTACTTTGTCATTGAGCGAGTGCCTCTTGTGTAATGTAATTAAAGGCCTGATTCACTGATCCAGAAAGTAGGCCAAAATGTGGGTTGTGCATACAGGGGGCTGAGCTATGTAGTGCAAAAGGACATGCAAACACATGGTTAATTGGGTCACTTGGCTTCCCCATTTCTCGTGTGCTGGTGTAGCAGAGGAGAAGCTGCAAAAGTTAGAAATCTCACCTTGCCCACAAATTTCCTACAACCCATGATTTATGGGCAAATCCTGATTCCCTAGCTGGATTAAGGTGGTGGGGCTCTGGTGCTGTTCCCATAATGGAGAGGTTTCCTTCCTAAAAGAACTCGTGGAATAAGGTACCATGAAATAAACCTTGTGATATCTTCAATATGGACAAATTTATTATGGCAGAAATGTTCACGGACTACAAAAAAATAATAATACTCTGAGCATGTGCAATTTCACAACTCTGAGCAAAACACCTTGTTTTGCCAACCTTTCTAAATGAAAAAAATATACTCTGGGCATGTGCAATTTTACACTGGAAACGCATCATTTTTTTGCTTACTTCTTGTCTTGGGCCAATCACCAGCTCCCAGGCTAATCTACCTCACCTGGGCTGTTGTGAAGATATGGAATGAGGTATACAATGGCTGCATAGGGAGATTTAGTGTTTGTAGCTCAGGCATCAAACTTTGGTTCCTTTAAACAGAACTATGCATTCTTGTACTGTAAAATACCACCCCCTTTCTCCTGTCCCGCAGCCCTCATCCAGACTATGGTTCCTCCGCTGTGGTTTCTTGTTGAGGGGGAAAGAAGGCATTTTTGAGCTCTAAACACGCAATTCCCAGTTCACATCTTAATTTGATTCCCTATTTCCCTTTCCAACTGTTATGTTAATAATACTGGCCTGTCACTATTCAGAAAGACTCCTGTCAAGTTATTCTGCCAAGAAGTGAGCAGATGAGCAGATGTTGACCACACTTCTGAAGCTTAACGGATACCTTGGGAAGTCAGGATGTGAGAAAATTTCCTTCACCACTTGGCAGGGCCATACAGAAGTCTAGCTAGTCCAGCATCTTGTTCTCACAGCGACTGACCAGATGCCTGTGGGAAGCCTGCAAGCTGGTCATGTAAGCCCCTCCCCCAAGACTGGGGAGGAGGCAGAAGACGTAGGAGGCATCAACCGGGGAACCCCCAGGGGAAGAAGGCTCAGAGCCTGGGGATTGGTGGTGGGACAACAATGAGTGGTCAGAGGGAGAAGACTGAGAGGAGGAGGTGTCAGAAGCTGGAGGGGCAACAGGGTTTAGTGAGCAGGAAGAGCCTGTGGCAGAGTGAAGTTTAGACTCTGAGGCTGAAGCAGAGGCTGGAGTTTGGGAGGGTCAAGAGGAGGTTGGAAATTAGGGGGGTCAAGAGGCTGCTGAAGAATCCAGGGAGTCTCCCCCTCCTGCTGCAACCAGCTCCTCTCCCCCACCCAAGTCTCTGAGAGAAATGAAAACAGCAGAACAGAGATTAGTTTTGTGCTGACACAGTTTGAAACTATATGGAGAAAACCTGAGAAAGGAGGAGCCTCACAACTGTGTCATCTAGGCAAGACTACCTAGGAAGAGTTGCTGAGCTGTGGTTTGTTTCCTTGAAAATATTTACCTTCACTGGCCTTGCATGATTTATAGGGTTTTCTTGTTGCTGATCTATGCCTGACAATGGCCAACCAATAGGGTACTTTGCTTAGAGATCTTTTTCACCTACAGCTAATGGACGTTTGAGGAACTAAGGAAGAACCAAAAGAGGGTGAGTGGAAACTTTGTAAAGAAAGCAGATGGTAAACATCGGTTCTGGCAACACCTGTTAGAGCACCATTGTTAGCAATTTGCCTTCCACCATGTTTTCTAATTCAGCATATTGCATGCAGGCTTGTCATCTGAAAAGGACTGTGTGCAGTTCAATATGTGCAGTGAATAGAGACACAAACATCAAAGCAGTTGAAGCTCTGGCTATTATTCATGAGCTAAGCAACAAGGTGTATTTGTTTCTGTTGTAGGGGATACTTAAGAAGAACAAACTGTACTGATTAGATGAAAAATCCATGGGTAATGGCAGCTGATGGAATGCTGTCAGGCTGAATATTTCCGTTCTGTTTTGATCTGAAGGCGAAACAGCTTTAAGGCAAAGGTCACATCAGTTAAGAGTAGTCTTAAACACTTGAAAGACTCAGCACTGACTTACTGTGGTACAAAACCAATTTAGCTTCAGATGTGCTCTTAATGGCTGTGTCTGTCCCCCCGGCTCATCCGATTTTATTCAAGGTAACATTTTAGTTAAATTATTTATTACACATGCTTACATTGGTTGTAATCGTTTTAAATTCACATTTTCACTTAGTAAATACATATCATCCAGTGAAATTAGTTTCAAATTACTTACGCTTGGCTCAATAGCCAATGGATTTGTGCATTTGTTTACCCAGAAACTGTGTTAATGTGAATTTATTCCAGCACTTGGTCACAGTGGGTAGGACTGGATTTTACAGTTAGGCTGCAAGCCTATATACACTTTTTCCTGGGAGTAAGAACTATTTGAACACAGTGGGACTAAGTAAACATGCATACAATTGTGCTGTTAGTACACAGTTGACTTAGACCGCAAGCTTCCACATAGTGGGGTTGATAAAATCCTATTGCAGGACTCTGCTTGTTCTGACATTCAGAGGGGTGGGGAAAGAAATAATTCAAAAACATTTTTTTTCTTATCTTGAATGAGGAAGGTTTCAGTTTGTTGGAAAATCCATGGTGCAATAGTTTCATAGGGTGTTTTTTTGGAAAAGAAAAAATGTAAGCAAACAGTACCCTGACTTATTTTCTTATTGGAACTAAGGATAAGCTCAAAAAGAACATGCTTTTCAGCTTGTTTCAGAAATCAAATGCTAAATTACATGTATTGGACTGTTATTTTATATGGAGGGTTGCTCTTTATTAGTTCTAGGTATTTTTATTCTACTTAAATATGTGTGTTTGCTTCTTGGACAAGTGTAAATCACCTGTTCTTTTGATGCTGTGAATGTTTTGAGCTGTGAACGCTTTGTGTCAAAATGTTATACCCATTAATATGCTGCCTCTTGCAGCTGAAATAAATAAAGCAAAGCAAAGCAAGTGAATGAATGTGTTGCACATCACACCCACATACACTACGACAGGCAAAACCATGTTTCAGTACCCTGGACTGCTTGAGTACCATGGACAGAGGGAAAGCCCCATCCTTTATTATCTTTATTATGCACTCTTCCCAACCACTCCACCTCACCAATACAGCATTTCTTTCTTAGCATAGTAGAAGTGTGGAAATAGGAAGTGTGACTCACTGGTCCTTTCTATTTTAGTGCTGGTTGCAGCATGCAAACAGGTTATTATTCTTTCCCGAAGAGCTGGTGTTTTAGGTAGATCATTCACTTTAAACTTACATTTTGAGTACAGTGGTTCCATGCTAAAGATTACCAGGATGAAGTAATAAAGGTAAAGGTAAAGGGACCCCTGACATTTAAGTCCAGTCGCAAACAACTCTGGGGTTGCGGCGCTCATCTCGCTTTACAGGCCGAGGGAGCAGGCATTTGTCTGCTTCCACAGACAGTTTTTCCAGGTCATGTGGCCAGCATGACTAAGCCGCTTCTGGCGAAACCAGAGCAACGCATGAAAACACAATTTACCTTCCCGCTGGAGCGGTACCTTTTTATCTACTTGCACTTTGACGTGCTTTTGAACTGCTAGGTTGGCAGGAGCTGGGACCGAGCAACGGGAGCTCACCCTGTCGCGGGGACTCGAACCGCCAACCTTCCAATCGGCAAGCCCAAGCGGCACAGTGGTTTATTCAGGCAGAATGAATGAACTGTGCACCATCCCATTAAAGACAACACAGGGACCCTCTGTGTTTGGGGATCCCCTGCAATCACAACTTCAAGAGATCTCCAAACTGGACTAAATGCATTTTAAGGTAATCTGGGGACATATATGCTATATGGGATGCTTCCATCTGAATATTCAGTATCGCCAGTAAATACCTTCAATCGACATGCATTATTCCCACCACCCTTAGACATTAGTTTGGGTATGATTAGGATTATGTGTACGACTATGGTTGTGTAACACTATGATTTGACAACTGTTGTTCTTTCCTCTGGGGAGTTCAATCGGTACCATTTCAGTTCTTCTTAAACTATTGGAGTGAAATTATTCCCCAACATGTTTTTCCTCTAGCCTGTGGCTCTCATCCAGATCCTCAATATAAATCTCTGTTTTTTTAAAAAAAATGCTTATGCTGTTTGACTTTACCATAGGGAGATGAATAATAAAGAAATGCATTTCCCCTGTCTTTGTTGTGCTGAACACGAGAGCCGTTTCTGCAAAATTAACCTGTCACTCTCAAGCACTCAGATAAAGATAGGATAGTGCTCGAACTAATATGTGCAAGAATCCTACCTAAGGCTCCACGGAGCTGGAGACAAGTGAATGACAGTCCAAGAATCAATGCAATTGCCTTGTGATTTATTGAGATTTTTCCTTGGCCAGGATTCTCAATTTAATATCCATAGCAACCTTACGCGATGCTGTTCCATTTAGAAATGGAACACGGTCTGTGGAAAATCCACCGCGTTCAGAAAAGAAAAGCATTGCCCGGTACTTCTGTAAATCAAGTAGCTGCAAAATCTTCCCAGCAATGTATAGAGTTGTACTACACAGGATGTAGGATCAGCTATTGGAAAGATTTGGTGTCGCCCCCTCACTGATGTGCTAGGTAGGGAGTTTCATTTAAAGAAATCATGGAGGAGTCGTCAAAAATATGACTCCCCCACTGCATTCTGAAATGGTACCATCCATAGTTCTCTTGTTCTCTCTCTCTCTCTCTGTGTGTGTGAGTGTGTGTGTGTGTATTGCACAGCATAATTGGTTATGACAACCTTGGTGATTCATGGGAGATGAATCTTCCTGTTCTTCCTGGGACCATGTGCTCTTTCAGCAAGCATATGTAAAGTCTGGGGGTGCTTTTGGATGCAGCTCTGCTCCTAAATTCTCAGGTAGCAGCTGTGAATCCCTTTTACCAGGTTATACAGCATCTCCTTCCTCAATATAAGACTCACTGACATCCATCATTGAAAATGACAAATGGACTACAGCATTGAGCTGTTCGCAGGGCTACCCCTGGAGATGTTCTGGAAGCAGCAGCTAGAGCAGAATGCTCCAAACTCATTTATTAAGTCTATATTAGCTCATTTCTATTGGCTTCTACCACAACCAAGTCAAGGTGTTGGTTATTACTTAATCCCTAAATAACCTTGGGTTAGTAATGTATTCTGGAGCATCTCCTCCTAATGAACTTGCTTAGGAGTACTTCTCTACCTAAAGAATGGAATAGGGTGGTAGTAATGATATGCAGCTCAGCGAGGAAAAAAGAGGAAGCCATGGAAGGATTGGCGGGAAGCCGGGGGATGTGGAATAAAGATAACTAAGTTGTATGTATTAAGAATTTGAAAATGCAGTGGCGTAGCAAGGTCAGGTGGTACCTGGCGTGGAAAACTTTTTGTCAACCTCCGCCATTGGAATTATTATTTTTTGCCTGCAAAAAATGGTTTGACTTTGTTTCATATTTTTGCATAGACAAAGTTGTTGAGCTTTTTTTGTGCAGCCAGAGTTGCAATGAAGAGTCTCCCTGCAGCCCTACAGCTGAGGGGGGAGCCAGTGGGCGGACCGTTTTGGCAGTGGGAAGCCTGTGCAAGCCAAAGCCACAGCGTCTATCACAGATGTTGAGTGCCGCACAGCATTTTGTCACCCCCTTGGAGGTGACACTTGGGGCAAACTGCACCCACTGCACCCACCTTGCTCCGCCCCCGTGAAAATGCATAAATAAAATAAAAAGGAGTACTTCTCCACCTCTAGTGGAGCCCTGAACTGGACTTTCTACATGATGCTGCCACAACTTTGAAATCTGCTTCCCAGGGAGACCCGCCAATGCAGCTCATCACTAGGCTTTCAGCGCAGTGTTAAACCTGTGCTTTTTCAATCATTTTAATTTCTGCATGGTTGCCTCCTGTTTTTATTAATAGTGACTTACTGGCCAACTTATTGTATTGACTGTAGAAATCACCTTGAGCAATTTTAAAGACAAACAGAAAGACGGAAAGGCAATGCCTTTTATAAATAAAATATTAGGATATCTGTAAAGTCAATTGCATGGCGAGGCCCCGGGCCCCGCAGTTCCCTTGGATAATAAACACACAGAAACACACAGAAACAAATAGTTAATGGGGTAAATAAGGCAACATCTTTATTGGTTACAGATGTGAGCAGTTTGGCTTAGGCATTGGGTGAAACCAGACTATATCCTGAATCTTGCACGTCCGCAGGAAGTCTCTTAAGGGTCAACCACCGGTAGGGGGAGCCCTATGATATACATCAATTAACAGCACCTCCAGGGTCCCCGCTGGGGTTGTGGCATGGCCCTAGCCCACGCCCAGGCTTCGTACAGGATCCACACCCCCGGATCCCTTTAATGGAATACCCTTATTGAAGAGGGGCAGGCGGAGGCAACAGTCTCCCCTCCCATGAACAAACTTACCCAATTCCTAACCTTACAAAGTTGTGATGATTGCTACAAGGTAGGCAAAAACTAAATGGCTGGTGCCAATTTGCCAAGTGGCGAAAAATCCTACCTGGCCCCAACAATAAGGCGACCGACATTAGTCCATAGCAAGGCCAAAGTCAAGCAACACATGAAAAGAGGGTGGGTGGGCTGGGTGATCCAATGAGGAGGTGAAAGGAGGCCGTCCCCCCCCCCAGTTTAAACAGCAAGCTGCTACTAATGATGCAGCATAACAACATATCCATACTCCGCTGGCAGGAGAGGCTTCTGTACATGAGCTGTGAGACCTGATTCACAACCCTAAAGGAATACCAGGTGATCCTTCACAGGGAGCTGTCAAACCATTGGTCCACCTAATTCAGTGTGTACATTGACTGGCAGTGGCTCTCTAGGGTTTCAGGCTCAGTACATCCCTAACACTACCTGGAGATCCTGGGGACTAAATCTGGGACCTTGTGTGTCCAAAGCGCAGCCATTTCCCTTCTGGCCCATTTCACCATGATTTTGTTCTGGGCATGCCCACAAACTTCTGACACTCCACAGATGCCACCACAATCTCTTGTCTGTCTTGTGAACCTGAAACAGTCAGGATCCCCCCTCTCCCCATAGAACCATGGGTAGAGGGAGATACCTTTGCACAAACATTTCCAAGCATGATCTACAAGCACCTTAACTTAGCTTTGGGAGATGGATCCACCATATTGAATTACTGCACCAATTTGTTAGAGTAAATATCCACTTAATAAGATTCAAGGGGAAAATATTCTTCAAAGGTTACTTACTCTAGAGAGACTGATTAGGAATATTTGCCAAACATAAATGGAAATGTTGAACTGCACCCAAATGCTATGATTAAGATAGCTGTTCAATCTGCTGGCACTTCTTCCATTCTTGTAATGGCCTGGTGCCCAAATGAGACAGGCAGGCAAGAAATATACCCAATAATGCTGTCATCGGATATAGCAGAGCAGTGACCTCATAAAGTTAGCGATTTCCCCTCCCAAAAAGTAAGTCGCTTTCTTCTCTTCCAGCATATCACACAGCCTTCCCCATAATTCAGTTTACATACATGGCATTTAAAAAAAAAAAAAAGCAATGGTGAAGGATTTAAATGGAGAAGGAAGTGTCAGTTATCCTAGCATGCTTCTTTAAAAGAAACAAGTTCTGTTAGTTATTTTAATAAAATGATACCGTAGAAAGACAGATAGGGATCTCGCACTTCCCTCCAAGTAATCAGAAGCGCTCCTGTGTATCTAGCCATCTTAACTTGTCTACATCACTATAATGCATGCACTTAAAACAAAAACCTGAAATGGGATTTCCTAAAGGGACATGCCATCTGAAACAGAGAAAGATGGGGTACTATGAGCCGAAACCTGCCCCTGAAATACACAACAATACCACTAAGGCGAGTTTCATCATTTCCGACTCATGAACATTATTGTTGTCACTATTCATTGTGTATTTGAATTATGTATTTTGAAATGTTGCAAATTGCTCCTGGGAACATGTTTGAAAAGTAGGGTAAAAGCGCCTTTAAAAATTGTATTGAATAAGGCTGGTTTTATATTTATGGAGATTGTTGATACATTTATTGAAATCAAGGAACGCAAACCTTTCTAAGGAAAGATTCTGCTTCCTCTTCTAGTGGAGTAAATCTGAAACTTCTTGGTGAAAATTAATGAAGTTACATCGGTTTTACATTTGGGTAAATGGCAGTAGAGCTTTACTGTGCAATTCTTTAATGGGTGCTAAAGCATAGTTTTGATTTGATTTTACAGTGTGGAACAACTGTTAACAAAGAGCATACTGTGTGTATTATCACTGCAATGAAGCCACCATGACTCTTCTGAATTTCAATGCAGTGAATACTATGGTTCACGCTGGGATTCTGAACTGCCCAGTTTACAATATGCAGCCAGTAGGTCAAAATGTAGGTTTTAAAATGCCTTGTTAACACTGTACTTCCAGTAAGTGCACAGGAAGAGCATTTCAGTTGCACTGCACTTTGAAAAGCCCTTGCTTTGTTCTGTGGCAGGCAATACGTTAAATTCATTGTCAACTAGACCCTTCTGAGAAAATGAACTAGGCCCTCAAGACAAGGCCATTTACAAAGGAGGAGAGGGGGCATGACCATTTGCAAATGGTTCTTCTCCCTACTGGGACATCTGGTTTGCATGCAGGTTCAAACCCTGGTATCTCCAAGTAGGCCTAGAGAAGACCCCGCCTGAAATCCCAAAGAGCTGGTGCCAATCATTGTAGTCAATATTGAGCAAGATGGAGAGTTTGCCTGACTTAGCATAAAACAGCTTACTCTGTCCCTATGAGCTGATGTTGCAATGTGCCTGGTTCATATCTAGCAAACTCAGCTCTTGGGAAATGTGGCTTAATGCACCCTAGAACATGCACAACATTCTCTCACAGCTGTCAGAGGACAGGTCTGTCTATTTCTCCACCTGGACCATCATTGTCTGCTGTGGTTCTACAGGATCCCAGACAGAGGTCTTTCTAATCCCTTGCTACCTGAACATTTCAACTGGAGATGTCATGCATTGCATCTGAGAGCTTTTGCATACTACTCAATTATGGCCAGTTGTCTTTGTCCATGGAGTTTTCTTGGCAGGGAGGAGAAGGGGACGAAAGAGGGCGAGATGGTTGGATAGTGTTCTCGAAGCTACCAGCATGAGTTTGACCAAACTGCGGGAGGCAGTGGAAGACAGGAGTGCCTGGCGTGCTCTGGTCCATGGGGTCATGAAGAGTCGGACACGACTAAACGACTAAAAAACAACAATTATGGCCAATATCCAATGCTGTCTGCCATTACAGCGAAATTCCTCTTATGAATCCAAAAAATTCTTGGATTCCACAGACCACCATTTGAAGCAATGGACAATGGCACCTACATACCCTCCAACATTTCTCCAATGAAAATAGGGATGTCCTAAGGAAAAGTGGGACATTCCAGGATCAAATCAGAAACTGGGGCAGCTTCTATAAATCCAGGACAGTCCCTGGAAAATAGGGACGATTGGAGGGTCTGCGCCTGTGTTACTGATGCTTCCAAAATGAGATAGAAACAAATGCCAGGTTTGAAACAAGCACCAGTTCTCATTACTGATTTTTTGTGTGAATTATTTGGAAGGATATGTGGATGACGTAGGATATGTGGAAATGGCCATTCACCTCCTGACAGCTGCTAAAATGCTGATTCCAACGTACTCAGGAGTGGGGGGAGAATCCCCTCTTTCATTAGAATGGACTTTCAGAATATAGCAGTTGACAATAATGCATAAAGTAACATACTATGTCACAGCAAGAGATGATGCAGTGTTTGAGACCAAATTTGTTGAAAAATGGGCAACTTCACCACCTTTTGAACTGAGAAATTCAGTGATGAAATCAGACTGTATTCTTTGGTTTGAAGATGAATTGTATTAATCAACTGGAAAACAATTCATCGCGATGGAAACAATACAGCGGTACCTCAGGTTAAGTACTTAATTCGTTCCAGAGGTCCATACTTAACCTGAAACTGTACTTAACCTGAAGCACCACTTTAGCTAATGGGGCCTCCTGCTGCCATCGCACCGCTGGAGCACGATTTCTGTTCTCATCCTGAAGCAAAGTTCTGAACCTGAAGCACTATTTCTGGGTTAGTGGAGTCTGTAACCTGAAGCGTATGTAACCTGAGGTACCACTGTAATAACATTTTAAAAGAAAAGAAAAGCATACTAGATGAAATGCTCCGTTATGATTTGTTAGCATTTGGTTATGAGATGTTGAATTATTTAGGTTTGCTTTCTTTTTGAAAGCATTGGGCATTTGAAGCTGTCTTATAGCAAGGCAGACAACTTGTGTATGTAGCTCCGTATTTTCTGCCCCATTTCATTGTGGCCGGTCTCACCTTTGCTAGCTCTGCTATCAGAGTTCTTAATCAAAGCTACCAAGATTTCTACTCTGGATCTCAGCACATGCTCTCCCACTGAGCAATGATCTTTCCTTAAATACAAGGTTACAGATGAAAGTTGCAATATTTTTCTGAGCACTGAGCAGCGTATGTTCCATGAAGAACTGCTGTACCTTTGCTGTTAAAGGTTAGGAGAAAAATCTCCAGGATCCATTAGGCTGGTTCACACATCACTGTAAGCCGTGGTTAATGACTTGCGATGAACAAACAGATTGCACCCACTTCGCTTCTCCTGTAAGCACAAGGAGGAGGAACAAGACATAATTCTTAGCTTAGTGCGATACCAGAATTCTGGGACATGGTTTGCACTGCTCATAAAACCCACAACCAAGAAGCTAGGAACAAATCATGGTTGGTTCGCAGCAAAATAAACCACAATCCCTGGTTCACATATAGCATTAAGCCAAATATTGTGACTTGTTGCTTTGCTCTCATAATGAAATTAAAGTATGTTCATGCTAAGCCATTAGCCATGGTTCTTCTGGATGTGTCAATAAAGCCATTATCACATTAAGAAGAGTGTACACTTTCTGGAAACCACGAAAATGAAGCATTTCAGAAATGAGCAGCCTTCATAAATATGAATCGTTCAGAGTATTACAGGAATTACTGTGTTTTTCACCACTGACTGATCCCTAAAGAGTCTGGCTAGGTTTCAGTTATCAGAACAGAAAATTACTATTTATAGCCCTAATGCTGCAATCCTAAACACGCCTACCTGAGAGTAAGTCCCATTAAACTCACTGGGGTTTACTTCTGAGTAGGCAAGTATAGGACTACACTAATGATTGCAATAAATAAATAAAGATGTTGAGAACCTGGGGTGTCGTTTTGCTCATGTGAACTGTGTGTCATCTCTCTGGTGCACACCTGCTACACAGTCCGCCATCCTAAATACAGCCCTTGGGTTATCCATTTATTATATCTTGCTTTTTCATCTTCAAGAAGAGCACCAGCCAACACCTCTGTAGGAAGCAAAGCATTCAACTGCTACTCACAGCATGCATTAACTAATACCGGCATACACAACCTGTGATCCACCAATATGAACACAGCCCACCAGCCATGTATGGCTGCTTGCCAGGGGCTTTGTAAACCCTCCTGGTTATGTGGCCTGTTTGGAATTGGGGGGAAACAAACAGGGGAGGAGTGGTGTCTCGGGGTGTGGAAGAAAAGGTCTTTCTTCTTCTTTTAGAAGTTCATGTTGTGTTTGGCTTGTTTACATCTGTTTCATTTCAATTCCATTTCATTTTCACTTGTTTCATTTTGGCATTGTGTTAGTCATTTGGTGAGGGTTTTTTAAAAAAAACTTTTAGCCACTGCTTATAGCAAAAGCAGAAATGGAATAGACATCAATTCTCCTGGTGGCCATCATTTTGTTTACTGCAGAATCCCCCAATTTAGTTTTGTTCCGGCATATTTTGAGGAGCTAGATGGGCCAATGTTCTTACCAGTGCTTTTTTTTCTAGAAAAAAAGGTGTTGGTACTCACCACGAAGTTGTTACAGTAAGTGCCACGCTTTTAACCCATGCTTTTCTTCTAGAAAGAAAGGTGTCAGTACTGTATACCCTTGAATACGAGGGGGGGGGGACTCTGGTTCTTACTTGATATAAGTTAGCTCTCTTGGTTCAAGTGAGTTAAATTTCAGAAGTTAAATACTAGTCTCACATTTATCTCCAACCTTGATATGTGGAAGATATCAGTATCCTAATGTGCCTTGGAAACACAATTATTACGGCTTTCTATGAAGAATAACAGGATAAGGTTAGAGATCTGTAGCCTCTACGCTTTGTAAGAAGTGAGACTGAGAGCAGTGCAATTGTCCTGAAAATTATAACTGTGGGAAGGTGCCAAAAATTCATAGTATCAGAACTTGCCCTGGCTATGTGACAGAACTCTGCTCTGTTATTGTTTCAACATCCCAATATCCCCTGGGTTTCTCTCCACTGGAATTCTGGCAGGAATTGTAGATTTTAGAACACTGGTGAGAAATTAAGCACAATATGCCATCACAATAATAACTTTAAAAGCAAAACAAATCACTCACTGTCTGTGTTCTCGTGGAAATTTTATTACTATTATTATTAAGTGGGGAAGAAATGAAAAAACAACAACTACACAAAACCAAAATACCATTCCCAGTTTGTTAAAGTAATATAATAATAGGTGATACCCAAGCAAGCCACAGCTCACACAGGAAAGGCCACAAAGGAAAAGCAATTTTGATCATCCCAAAGGACAGACTGCCAAACAGGAACAGCAACACCTCGCCCGTATTTCATCAAAAGGGTTGTTACACACAGTATCCCTCGAATTCAGCAAAATCCCTAAATACAGATGATGAGAAACACATCCCTCAGCTTTCAAAGCATTTTGGAAATGCATTCAGAGAACAAAGGCCGAACGAGCTTTCTCTCCTCCACCCCACCCTCACTCTTGACATAAGTAGGCCATCAACTTTAATGAAATGATAACAGCAAAATGCTGGATCTAAGCCAGCATTTTAAAACCATGAGCTGGAAATATAACGACATTGCCAAGAATGTAAAAACAGCCCTGCCAGAGTCTCTTGACTTATATTTGGACATCATATTTAAAGACAGAGCATCCCATAATAAGCCACGCACTGCTATAGCCTGGGGCTTTAAACTCTTGTAGTTGTAGCACTGCCAAAGTTTGCTTTACTTTGTAAAATTATTCCTGAGCATGGAATTATGGTATACCTCCCCCCCAAAAAAAACACCTCACATGGAAATGAGCTATGATGTTTACTCTCTGATACATGACCACTCACACCTATTATAAATTATTAGCTTTAGAACAGTGCCGTGCCGAATATTTGCCATGATCCACTTTTTGTACCAAAATACATCCCTTTAGAAGTGGAGACCTGCTCATGAAATTAGATCACCCTCGAACTGAAAATAGAAAATGCATTACGTTATCACGCTGGCAAAACAACAACAACAGCACATTCATCACACAGGCTAGGACTGCAAATAGCATGGTGTCGTGGATCATTACAGATAACCACAGCATTGCCCCTGCTTTTCAAAATTGCGTTTGCACTGCTTAAAGTGCTATGGGATGGAGAGGGCATCTTTCTGACAGGCCCTTTAGCTGCTGTCTATCAGGGGAACATAGTTTGTCTAAAACCTAGGGATAGGGAGTAAGAAATTGGGGGTTGTGGAATGCAATAAGAATTACTGTGGGTTTTCAACTGATTGTGTGGGCCCTGAGATGGATGTGTGTGTTCAGGTGACCAGGTTTTTGTCAATAGTAAGAAGAAATTCAAACACAGGTAAGGATTAGGAACAGGAGCAGCTGGCAGTGGGGAGATGGGGGTGCAGTTGCTCACTGAGACAAGATGGTTTGAGGGCTGTGTGGAGAGAGTCTCTTCCTTTAAATTCCTAGGAGTTTATCTCACTGAAGATATTACTTGGAAAATAAATACAACCCCGGTGTTTAAGAAAGCCCAACAGAGACTCCATCTCCTCAGAATATTGCAGAAGAACGATGCCAATCAACATTTGATGATCTCCTTCTACCGGTCAACAATAGAAAGTGTTCTTTCATACTGCATCACGGTGTGGTACGCTGGTTTGACATCATCTGATAGGAAGTGCCTACAGGGGGTGGGGAATACAGCACAAGATATTGTGGACTGTCCCGTGAATCTGCTGGATGAAATAGCGGAAGAACGTTACCTCAGGAGAGTGAGGAAAATTCTCAGGGATGATTCACACCCTGACCAGCACTTTCTTGATCTCCCGCCCTCAGGCAGAAGGTATAGAAGCATGATTAGTCGCACCAACAGGGTAAAGAACAGCTTCTATCCGTGGGCTGTTAGGCTGCTGAATGAAAAGATAACAACAGGGCAACTGACTTTCGGGTTTGGTGGGTGTGCTTCAGTAAACGAGGGAATTAAGACTAAGAGAGCTGAGCGGGGGGTGCTCGTGTAATCTCACTGTATACAAGTTGTACAAGTGACAATAAAGTATTTCAATTTCAATACTACACCGATCCTGGCCAGACTGCACAGACTGCCAATCAGCTTCCAGATCCAATTCAAAGTGCTGGTTTTGACCTGTAAAGCTTTAAAGGGCTCAGGACAGCAATACCTCAAGGACCGACTCTCCCCATACAAAATGTCCCAGACTCTGCATTCAACATCTGAAGCCCTTCTTTGTGTGCCTCCTCCACATGAAGTCCAGAGGGTGGCAACACAAGAAAGGGGCCTTTTCCATTTGTGGAATGCTCTCCCCAGGGAGGTTCGCCCAGAGCCTTCATTATTTATTTTCAGGCCGCTTTGAGAGTGTGTGGTGGAACATCCGAACCAGGGGCACAAAACCAAACTATATGTCAAAGCAAACCTTTTAGAAAAATAGTGCAATGAGTAGATTTAGAGGAGGTAAAATGGATCAGCACACACCATACCCTGAGTTCTCCCTCCCAAACCAGTCAGTGAGCTCTCGGCACAATCTTTTTAAAAACAATATGAGCTATTCCTTTCAGATCTATTATTATGCCATTTTCGTTGGGTGGTGATATATATATATATATATCCCACAGAGAATGTTCTGCCTCCTTTCAATCTGTGCCACAATAAATGTTTCCCATTTCTGGAACAGTGGGGTTCTTTTGAAGAGGAGGGAGTACCCGAGAGGACAGAATAGCAAAGGCAGCTGCGGCCCTTTGACAAATGAAATAAATAACATTGTCGAGCCCAGGAAAAGTGGGACCCCTGAGGGCGTCACATTCATTTCCTCCTCGATAGAATGTGGGGATCAGATTGTCAACCTGATTGGTTGTTGCCACAGCCTCGCAGGTAGGGCCGTTGTTTGCCTTCAACAGGCCCCCTGGTTGCTGTAAACTTATTCAATTAAGAGGGGGGAAGAGAAATTGCCGAGCTGTCGATGGCGACCAAAGCATTAAGCTCGCGGAAGAGGACAAGGCCGTTTGTCTCAAAACACTGTGATCAGTCAAGAAATAAACCTGTTGGCAGAAGGCCCAGGACTTCTCAAGAGCACCTTGTGAAGATGAGAGCTTTTTTTTTGTTTTTTCTCCTGGAGGTTTCGTGGGAAAGAGTATCATTAAATGAGGCTGTGGTCAACAACTAGGTAACTAGCACTTGGCTGCTCCTTGAAGTGTGACTAATGGAGATGCTGGAGAGGAATCCAGCTCGAAGACCTTGACAGAAGACTTCTGAATGCCCTTGTTCATAAATTCAAATCACATGGGGGGGAGGAATGCTTCCCAGTAGTTTAGAGCACCTGCCATTTCCCATAGCTGCTCCTAGCAAGGATGCCAAGACCCTGCCCACCGCTGCTTTAGGAAAGGAGAGAACTTCTGTTCTTCAGTTCCTACACAACAATGTTCCAATTTGCAAGGGTTGTGGGGTTGGGAAGGGGTTGTTTGTTTTTGTTGCCAGAAGGAAAAATAAACGCCGGCGTTGCCTCCTTGAACTTCCTTCTCTCTTGCATCAAGGCTGCAGCATTTTGCTGGCATTGTGGGGGGAAAGCGACGGCAAGATTTATTTACCGCTTAATAAAGAATCTCCAAGCGGTCCGCATAAAACAGTGTAGAATATCAATTTAAAATTAGCAATAGAAACAGACTGTAAAAGCAGTGCACATAATGAAATCACATAAAACAGACAAAATGGTGACATGTCTGGTTTTTAGCAGGCGTTGGGAAAAACAACAAATAGCTCATCAGGAGAGCAACTGCTTTGCCCCCAATGCTGGAACCATTTCTCATAGGGCAGTCGCTCCAGCCTCCAGATCATTTTGGTTATCCTTTATTCCATTTGGTTTTGATCTTTTAAAAACCAGAACTGAGGACATTGGTCATGCCTGCTTCAGAAATTTCAAACTGCTCTGAATGTTGCTGTTTTCGCTCCCTTTCAGTCCGACCAATAAGTCTACCAGGAACTCTGTGCAGTGGAGCAGCATATAGGATATTAAGGGTCTTATTGGGGGAGAAGTATAATCATGACCATTTCTTGCCATTATTAAATGTGGGGATAGAAAAATAATGCAATATAATCATCACACACTTTTTTTTCTCTTGCATAGCAATTTCAGCTTTCGGGCAGATTATGTTAAAACACCAATTTTCCATTGTATGTTCATAAAACAATATAACCTTGTTTTCTATTGTTTAGACACTTGTCAAACTCCCTTCTCCCCATTCAGAGAAAGAGAAAGTTGCATTTTACACACACACACACGACTCACTGAAAACAGATCAAACACACATTTTTGCCTCCTCACTCACACACAAAGGCACGTAAAAGAATACATTTTCTTCACAGTATGTTTCTGTATTTTAATCACCAGAGCTTCCAGAATCTGCACAATCCTTAAATGCTGATTACTTGAGAATCTTTCCCCTCCTCCAGAAAGCTCAGGATGGTTTAAGTGGGATAATCCCAATTTATCCTCACAACTTTCCGGTGTGGTTGGTTAGTCTGAGATGCAGTAGTACTTTTCATCATGCACAACCATGCTGCAATACTGAATTGAAGGATGGCACACACTCACATGTGCAACATATTTATTTATTTATTTATTGCTTATTTGTTTGGAACATTTTCTGCTACCTTCAGTGCAAGATTCTCAGGGGCGAGTAAATACTCAAAATTAATTGGATCTGAACTGACACAAAATTTATTATATCAGGTGCTCTATTACATACAGGGAAGACTCTTACCATGTTCATTAATATTTTTTAAACCCGCTATTGATATTACTGACATTTTAATGAATGACATTTTATCCTTTCTCTCTCGTTCTCTGTGTTCTTTCACACTTTTCCTAACAGCCCCCCCTCCTCCCTTCTTTTCTGCCCGACATGCTTCTTTGTGATGGGACAGGTTATTGTTGCTAGAAGTCTGGGCTGATCTCTTGCAGAGGACTCCCCCCCTCCCTTTTCTGCATCCTCCTTCCATTGCTCCTCCCATTTCAGATTTCCCTTCCATTTCCCCCTCTCCAACTGAGTTCCCCATCACCATATGAAATTAGACTGAAAGCTGCCATTGAGCCACTCCAGATCTAGGAATAACATTTTGTAAGTGCATCTAATCCCTCCTTCTGCCCTCACATTCTCTCGCCGCCCATTAACCCCCTTACAGGGGTTTGCCCCTTCTTTGGCAGATAAATTTATCTGATGCTGGAATACATAATCCAGATTTGTAATATTTAGTTATCGTTGGGCTTAATTTGTTGCTTTTTTCAGGCTGCTTTCCCTGGCCTTTTGTTGTTGTTGTTTTTCTTTAAATAAACTGCTGTAAACTGCCCTAGGGAATCTCCGGGCATTGACACCGGAGAAATCTATATAAATAATAGGATCGAGAAAAGTAGCCTCAGGTCTTTTATGAAGCTAATAAATCAGTGTCTTTGCAAAGCTTACAGAATGTCTTGGAACTAAAACTAATCTAAAGAAAGTTAGGCGCCCTTACATCTTAGGGCTGCGCCAAATGTCCTCTAATTTATGATATTCGCTCGTGTAGCTCAACTGAACTGATTTCGGGGGGTGATGGGAGAGCAACCACCCCATCAAACATTTGCATTGTTTAGATAACAAAATTTGTATACCATCACCACCACCCTGATGAAAAATGAGGTGTGATTGCAGCGTTTAGTATAGTTAAAAAACAAACAAAAAACCACCCCAAATACTCAATACTCAAAGGGACTGTCCTTCAGTTTTTTTGCCCATTACAGTCATACCTTGGAAGTCAAACAGAATCTGTTCCGGAAGTCCGTTCGACTTCCAAAATGTTCGGAAACCAAAGTGTGGCTTCTGACTGGTTGCAGGAAGCCTCTACAGCCATTTGGAAGCCGCAGAAGCCCCGTCGGACATTCGCCTTCCAAAAATAGTTCACGAACCAGAACAGTCCCTTCCAGGTTTGCAGCGTTCGGGAGCCAAAACGTTTGAGAACTAAGCTGTTCGAGAACCAAGGTACGACTGTATTTCTTAGACTTCATTACAAACAACCAGAGATATTGTCCTGGGGTCTAAACAGGATTCCTGTTGGACTTCTGGTTCTCTTAGACCACTTTTGAATCCAACTCTGCTATCTGGTTCCATCCTTTGAACTCTGAGTCTCGAAAGTAATTCAGGAGAGCCTGAAGCTGCTAATCAAAGTTATCACTTGCTGCTGGTACAACTATATTTGTTGGGAGCTATATCACAAGTAGCCTCAAGTAGTAGAGGGCTAATAGCAATGGTTTCTTGAGCAAACCAGAAGCCTACGTCTTGTTCTTGCACTTATTAAATAGCCTCATTTTACATAGCCAGGCCAGAAACAATTCCCAGTGGTAATTGATTTTTCATCACCCCCTCTGATCTCCTGGCTTTCCCATGCTTCTGGGCCTCGACTTGAAATTTTATTATAAGGGGCATGATGCTCCCTGACCCTTTGCATCATTATCTTTCCATGCCTCAGGGCACCCAGTTCTTGTTTATTTATGACTAATGTAGAGAAGGCCAGCACTGAGCATTCTCATGGGAATGAGCCTTTGTAACAGTTACCTATCGGCTTTCCAAGGATTAGAGTCCACCCGAGGAATTCCCAGGAAAACCTCTACCTCATTTGCAGGATAGCTATAGCGGGGAAAGATTTGCAGAATATACAACATACACACCCACAAAATGGAGCACACCATGTCTAGGCAGGGATGTAATTGTGGTGTTAAAAGCCTTTTTGCACTGGGCTCCCAAACTAGCTACAATAAAAAGTGTGTGTGTGTATCTAAAAAGAGAGAAAAATATAAAATGAGCAGATAAGGAAACTGACAAAAAAGGCAAAGCAGCACTAATGAAATTAAAACCATTGAAGCAGAAAGGCCAAATCAGACCAACAGGCCTAAACCCTGTCTAAATTTTTTAAGCCTTCAACTGCCGGCGGGAGACTATTAGAGAAAGGATGTGGGTTGCAGTGCCTAAATGCAACCACTTAGGCTTTCACAACAAGCGTGGGTGACATCAAAGAACAGGCAGTGTCTGTGACTTCCTCGGGACTCCTCCCCTCAGAGGTGTCAACTTGTGAGTGGGATCGTGGGGGGAACGGGATGTCGCATGCATGACATCACACGTGCGGTGACATTGCGTCAGGACATTGTGCCAGGTTGGAGGAGCCAGGAATGCAGCAGTAGAGCAGCTTCAATGGTTGGCAGCTCCTGCTGCTGCTGCCACCCACTGCACCCTGCTTCGCCCTTCCTTCCCCTCTGTGGCAGGAGGAGGAGGAGGAGTTGGCCACTGAAGCCACGATGCCATTGCATTCCTAGCTCCTCTGACCTGACTCAACTTTTTTGAACATTGGGGGAGGCAGCCGCCCCCCACAAACAAATATTTAGGGGACCCAAAACAGTCCGTCCCCTAGGAGTCAGCTCCCCTGCCTCCCCTCCACATAAAAATATTGTACAACCTAATGATTTGAGCAGCAAAATACAGCTATTTCAGTAGTGGGTGTGTGGTGGGACAGCAGAGTTTCTCTGAGCTCTTGACAGCTTACTGGGAAGGGACAAGGTGGCAGCAGGTTGACATGGTGCAAATGCACCAGCGGAGCCAATAAGCCACTTTCCCCCCGTGGGTTTGAATGCTCCAAGCTCCCTGCCTACTGGTGAGGGGCAGAAAGTCAGCTATTGGGAGGTCAGGGGAGCACCACCACTCCACCATGTCATACGCTCCAGGGCTGAGATTAGGTGCCATATTAATTTCCCACAATCCCTCAAGCAGTGCTTTTACTGGGGGGAAGCAGGGGTATGCATACCTGTAAGGAGTTGTTGCTGCCAAACAACTCCCTATTTCCTCTTCTGAGTCGGGCGACAAACTGCTAATGAGCTCTTTCGGCTCTCGATAATTGCTTCTCTCCCCCCCTCGTCTCTCTAGCTGTCTCCCTTTCCCTGACAATACCCCTAAACATTTTGTGAATCTAACGGGAGAAGAAACTTAAAAAAATTAAGTTTTTAGTTTCTTCTCTAGCACGGTGAATCATCAGTTCCATTGCTACCCCCCAATGGTGGCCTCATTTCCTGTCACAGTGTTTCCTGAGTCACAGATGGAAGTGAGCGTTTAATGTGTGAAGTAGGAGTTGGAATCTAACACAGTGATTGGTCAGTTTCATTGTTACCACCTCCAATGGCAGCTTCATTTCCTTTCCTGGTGTTTCCTGAGTCTCAGATGGAAGCAAGTGTTTCATGTGTGAAGCAGTGTGGAATGTGGATGTGTGGTGGTTTTACTGATGAAAGTTTGGCTTCATTGGGGGGCAGCATTTCAATATGAATAGGAAAATTACTATTTTTCATCATGGAAGTTTTCAGTATGGAATTTTACTGTGAGCTGTCAGCTGTAATGTGTGTTCTTTGTACTTTTGTCCATTTACTGTATTTATTTTTCCCGATTTGAACTATAAAATGGTGATTTTCTTGAGTACTCCTAAACATTTTTTTAGAGAGAAAAAAAAGCACTGTCCTCTAGCATAGCAACATTCCAGGACATTGTGGGAATTTGGGCTCAAGCACCTCCTGCTGGTTGTGCTCAGTGCTCAGAGCACTGTTCTCCTCCTTGCCTGCCACCACTAGGTAAGCCTGAGGAAGTCCATCAACAGAGACAGGGGTCAACTTTGTTCCAGGGCCCCTCACACCCAGAGCTGGCCCTGCTGGTTGTGTCACAAATTCTTCACATTTATTCATGTGAAATCTGCCACAGAGACCTGGATTGTTATCTGCATGAAAAAGGAGGAAAGCATAAAGAAGCCTTTGAAACCATAGCTTTAAAAAATGGTAATAAAATAATTGTCTGAAGAAATCCCAGAAGTTTCCATTTGATGGATTGTCAGAGAAATGGATTATTCAAGCAGTGGTATCCTTCCCCCACTCTTTGCATTTGAAAGATCAGGCTGGTATTTAATCTTCTCCTGGGACATGTATGTAGTGCTAATAAAATCTTTTGACTGTTGCTCATTAAAGGTGGCCTGAAACTTTCAGAGAGAGATAGACATCTGGATACCTTCAAGTATCGCAGGAAGTAAAGGAGAGTTAGGAGACTGCAAATTAGATAGAATCCCTCAAAGTTCCATTGTGTAAAGCAAATAATATATAGTCAGTTTGAGTGTTCAGAGTTTCTCACATCACAGATGATGTGAAATACCTGTGATGCAGCTGTTGGAGAAGTAACAGGTGATATAAGGCTTCATGTGTCCATACACATCTCTCCCCCACTTTTGCAAACCTTTTTGCATGTTGCACTACGTGTTTTATCAAAGGGGGGGTGCCCATTCCTGTTCACCTCACAAATATCTTCTTTAGCGATCACTCATAGCCGAGTAAGATTGTCTTCCATAAACACGGTTTTAACAATGAGTCTGTAAGTGACTGTGGAGGCCAATTCTGGACCCACACATCCTTCCACAGTGGGGACATTGGGAGTTGGCGGGAGTTGATCACGGTGTGGATTTGCCAAGTGTGCCTCTTCCTCTTAGCACGTTTCTCCCTTGCGTCCTGAGTTTGAGTGTCTTCAAAGCCCATGACACCTTTGGTTCTCCAACTGGAGCACTCACAGGCCAGTGCTTCCCAGTTGTCAGTGTTTATACTACATTTTAAAGAATTGCCTTGAGACAGTCTTTAAACCTCTTTTGTTGACCACCAGCATTATGCTTCCCATTTTTAAGTCTGGAATAAAGTAGTTGCTTTGGAAGACAATCATCAGGCATCCGCACAACATGACCAGTCCAACAAAGTTGATGTTGAAGAATCATTGCTTCAACACTGGTGATCTTTGCTTCTTCCAATGATATTAGTTCGCCTGTCTTCCCAAGTGATGTGTAAAAATTTTCAGAGACACCGTTGATGGAATCTTTCGAGGAGTTGGAGGTAGCGTTTATAAGTGGTCCATGTTTCACAAGCATACAGTAAGGTTGGTAGTACAATAGCTTTGTAAACAAGCATTTTGGTTTCCCTGTGAATGTCCCAGTCCTCAAACACTCTGCACTTCAATCGGGAGAAAGCCGCACTCGCAGAGCTCAGGCGGTGCTGGATTTCGGCATCAGTGTTGGCCCTTGTGGAAAGATAACTGCCTAGGTAGGAGAAGTGATCAACATTTTCCAACGTTACACCATTGTGTTGGATTTGTGGCACGTGGAACCCACCCATAGTAATTGGAAAACTACTGCCTAACATAGGCTGAGTTGATTGGAGAGGCTGGGCATTTGGAAGACTTGGGACTATTTCCCATCCTCTTCCAATAATTCATGGTTTTCATTTAACAGCTTTCCAACATTAGCACTGCAATTCAGCACAGAACTACTGCAACAACAGCAATTCAATGTCAATTTTACATTGTAGAATTCTATGCCATCGCTATCCTACATTTGCAGGTACACGTCTTTACTACATGTACATAAATGCTGTAATTCCAACCATTTGCCTGCACATGTATTTTGAAAATGCACCTATTTCTGAAATCTTGTTTATTTTGAATAAAATAACAATTTCCTTTCTGCATCTTGCTAATGATGTGTTGAAGGTGCTATAATCACAGCTATTTCATCAGATCTTAATAGAAAGCCTACATAATCACACAGCGTTTCATTCCGTACAGTCATGCAAATAAAACCTCCTTGGTGCAAGCAAAACATCTTGGATTTTCAGGATTAGTAGCTCGGTGTCAGCATGCATAATAGAACTGTACTGTACAAAGGGCAAAACACGCTCCAATTAAATCTGATTGCTAAATCAGACAATTGGTAATTGCTAAATGTCTACAGTTATTTTACCCAAATGACTCTGAAAGTTAACCAAGTTATTTCTGGCCAGTGAAAAGGCAAAGGGCTGTAGTTTCTGGGCGGAATCCCTAGCATTTCCAGGTATGGCTGGGGAAAAATCCCTGTCCAAAATCTCAGAGAGCTTCTTCTTGTCAGTGTAGTAGTAGCGGATGGTGTGGTCTTGACCGAAGCCCTCAGCCGACCTCCTAACGGTTGGGTCACTGCTGCATACCAGGAAGGAGAGTGGTGAGGCAGTGCAAACTCACTAGGAGAGACAATCTGATGCTCCTGCCAGTGTATTTGGACTGCTCCAACCTCCTCCTCGTCCCCTCTCTATCGGCATGATTTAAAGATCTCCTCTTGGACATATTCAGGCCTTTGACCACAGATGCAGAAATACAGGCAGAATGAATTAAAAGCAGTATACCAAGTTTTTGCCAACCAGATAGCGAAAAAGCCGGTGGTGATTCCACTGGGAGAAAATGCTAATGCGAGAAGCAAAAGAGGGTTTATTATGAATCTGTTAATAGCTGCTAAAATCTTCTTAGTGCAACACTAAAAATTACATTCTGTTACCCTCAAGGAAAACAAAGCAAGGAAAAAAACAAACCTGGTGAGGTACAGACATGGAGAAACTGTTATGTTTATGCTATTTTACTACTAATAACCCTGGGGGGGGGGAGTAAGGTCAGATTGCAGCAGCAACAGCAGCAACAACCATGCATTTTAAGAGTGTTTGTTTTAAAGGCTTTTTCATATCTTATAGTAACTAGTGCCAAAGCTATTGAATCAGGACACAAACAGTGTGGTTTTAAGCAAGTGGGCTGGCCTTTCCAGCATGAATACTAAGTACATAGGACAGTTTTGTTGTTCATAAGGGTAGGCATGCAATATTCGAACCATAAATACAGTGGTACCTTGGTTTAAGAACTTAATCCGTCCCGGAAGTCCATTCTTAAACCGAAACCATTCTTAAACCGAGGTGCACTTTCCCTAATGAGGCTTCCCGCCACCGGTGCCCTTCCACCATTCAGCTTCCATTCTTAGACCGAGGTAAAGTTCTCAAACTGGGACACTACTTCCGGTTTCGCTGAGTTCGTAAACCGAATCGTTCATAAACAGGACTGTTCTTAAACCGAGGTACCACTGTACAGATGTTCCTAAGGCAGAGAGGGTTTGTGGCCCTCCACATGTTGTTAGATACCAACTCCCACCATCTCTGAGCATTGGCAATGCTGGCTGGGGCTGATGGGAATTTGTCCAATGACACCTGAAAGGTCACAGGTTTCCCATCCCTGTGAGGAATGGTCACTTGTAGTCTGAAATATGGCAGCGGGGAGGCAGTACCCTCTGTTCCCTCCCTAAATGGCAGTCTTCCAGCTTCCACAAGACAACCAGAACTGCACCCAATACTTGTGTGGCATAACACAGAAGATGTCCAATGATATCAACATGCACAAGTTCATGAATCCATCTCCAGCTGAGCTTCTGCCCCATTTTCTCCATGAACACATCCCAAGTGGCACTAGAAATGGATAGATCTGTCTGTTTTAGTTTCTCTCACTTTTTCAGTCTTCCAACCTTTACTTGCCCACATTTCCATGGTAATTTCCATTAAAAAAAAAAACCAAAACCCCATGAGAATCTGAGCATCTTAATGCCGATTTCTCTATATACACATTTGTATGCCGTTGTCACTAATATGATGTGTTATTTTCACACACATGCATTTAAATGCACCCCCCCCAATGAATACATTTTTGTACACATTGTTTGGAAAACTGCATTGCAAAATTCAGAGAAGTGCAAATTTTGAAGGATCCTTGCATCTTCAGTGCATGTATTGGTTCAAGGAGTGTGAATGAGATGTTTTGGTTGCATTTTGACGAGAAACTAAGGCCCTTTCTCTAACTGGCACTAAAAAACCCTCCAACTTTTCGTCAGTTTGAAAAAGCAGGGTGGGGGGACTGCTACCTGCTACAACAGGCTCCCTCCAACTGGGAGGAAAACTGACTCCAAATTAAGGACCCTGACCTGCCCCCCACAACCTCAGCGGTCTCTAATGGCAGAAATCTTGGAAACTCGGCTCACAAATGGAATAAAGCAGAAGGCAGGCGCAGTTGGTCCCTCGACATTTTGTGCAGAAGCAGCAGGACTGGGGGGAAAGGCGGGGAAGCTTTCCTTTGCAGAGAAAGATGACAGCAATGACAAGACGGTTCAGGTAAAGGTTTGCTTATTATTTCTCATGCTGCACACGCTTTTCACTGTGTCAGCACATAAATATGTTTGTTGCTCCTCTGCTGAGTTGTAGCAGGTGTACGAGGTCGTGCAGGTCAGGTTCTTGGCAGAGGAGAAACCGCTGGTGCGGCGCCTCATTTTGTGTTAAGCGTCATTTGTTTTATTTATACCTGTGCAACTGCTGGGGAGCAGAGGTGTTTGCAAGCAGAGGAGAGGGGGAATCTATCCTTTCAAGATGCTGAACGCAATCATGGAAGCCGAGCAGCTGCTGAACTTAAAAGGTTGGTCCTAAGCAGTCAGGGATGAGGAGAGCTGTTTAACAAAACTGGATTCCCCAAATGGAGAGCATCCCAACAAATTGGAGGGTGGGGGCACAGAACAACAAAGACTGAGCTTGCTCTTTGGGCACAGAATGCTGACTGGAGGCAGTCCAGTCCCAGGAACATTAGAATCTTGGGTTTCTCCATTGATATCTATGGGGATCTGCGTCATCCATCCCTTGGGAAATTTTAAAATAGGTTTATGCTTCAAAAATGATTTTTTTAAATAGGACATGCAGCCTGCCAAAAGCACAGATGAAGGGCAAAACTAACAGCTGAGCCAGGATCCAGTTCTCACCAGCATGCATGTTTTATCCACTTCAGTTGTGAAACTGGATGGAAGTCCATAATTTGACGCGAGATCTGCTTTCCTGTTACGTCTTACTATGTCCTTAGACTGTGCCCTACTATGCCGCAGTCTCTGTTACAAATCTTGCACATTCTATTTCAGCCCTCATTTGGTTTTTAACTTTAAGGTTGAATAAACCAATTGAAGTAAGTCAATTATTACACTCGGATCCATCCACACTCCATTTAGCTTATGAAATTGAAATCCCTCTTCCTACAGCTAACTCGTCTTTGTTTTCCCCGCTCTGGAACACAAAAGTGTACAAGCAGCAGCATACGTTCCCCCCCCCCCCACCCTGACTTTGATCACATGCTAAGATGCATGCTTGTTTTATTCTTAGGTGGCAGCTGAGGTTTTCAGAATGTGTTCCAGGGAGCCCTGGAGTGGCTTGGACTGCAAGCTGACCAGGTGTTCTTCAATGGGTCACGGAAACTGCCTTCAAGGAAAGATGGTTCGGCCAGCACAGCTGATCTCCTCCAAGCATGAGAGTTCTGGGGCACACTCTCTTAAAACCCAGCAGTAATGGTGCAGCCCAGGGGGTCTTCCTTGTGCTCTGTGTGAAATTATAGCAATTGTAAAACTTTCCATAGAATGCTTTGCAATACATAAGGATTTCTAAGCAGCCAACATGCAGTTGGAAGCAGTGTCCGGGCGGAAAACGCTGAAATGTCCTTGAAAATCTGGATGTATGGCAACCCATGTCTGATGTCTAGATTTTGCCAAATTTCCTTAAAAATAGCTCTAAAACTTCAATTTTGTTTGATATTTTGCAATTAAAGAACATTTTTGTCTGGATTTTCACTTTTTGAAATATGGCAACCCTAGGTTTCACATCCAGCTTTGTAACCTGAGTTAAAAATCACAGTTTCTCAATCTGGATATGATGGTAGACTGTAGCTATATGATTTATGTAGAGAGAACATGACTATGTGAAATTACTCTAATAGCTTTCAGTCATGTGTGCATGTATATAGAGTATATAATGGCTGCAGTTAATTAATGAAATTAATCAATTTGCATAGAAATTTATTTAAAAGGTGTCTCGGTTAATTGGGCAACACATTTTTTTTTAAGAAAAGTTAAATACAGTAAGTTACAAAAAACAGTACATGGAAGGCATGCATAAAAGAATGCCTTCTAAGTTGGTTCCTGGTGGGATATGTCAGGGAAAGCAAACATTGTTGGACTTTAACTCCCACCTCCAGACATTGGTGGACTTTAACTCTCACCATAGGTACCCAGCATGGCTAGTGGTCAGAGATTATGGCAAATGTAGCTCAGTCATATCTGTAGGGGACTACATCAGCTGCACCTTTTGTATGTACATGCTGTCGCACAGCTGCAAATTAATCAAGCAGTCTTCTTCATAAACAGAATAAAAGTTTACTTGAGAAAACAAACTTGTTCAGAAACAGCATAGTCAAAGAGCATACACAGAGTGCTCATAGCAGCTATCTTAGTCTTCACAGAGGCACAAATCTTAGTTACTGATTAACTGGAGTCCTGGAGTCACTCTGTCTGCAACAACACACTCACATACTGAGCCAAGACTGACTCAGACTCTGAAGACAGACTGAGGCCCAGAGAGATGGCTGGTCACATTTATAGGGAACCCAAGATGAGTCACGAGTCACAGTGACGTGACAGTTTACTGCTAACAGTTACAGCTAGCAGGCTTGAAATGATTGTGTAGACCTTGCCTTACTGTTTCTGCTCTTAAGAACTTTTGTCTCATGACACATGCATCATCTAAGGGGAGGAGTAGCACCTCTGGTGAGGGACATACTGTGCTTCTTCTGGGGTAGTTTCTCCATTTCTGGTCCACACCCTGCACTCAGCCCTCACCAGTGGCTCCTAGAAGCTGTCAGCATGTGACAGCAGCCACACTCCAGAAAACAGCTTCAGCTGGCTGGCTAAACCTTGATGACTTCCCCTGCATTTGAAGACAGGCCCCAGCAGATTGAGCGGAAGAGACCAATAGTGGGTCCAACGGCCAAGAAGGTGGTTTCTGCACATGCTGCAGAGAGATGTGAGGGGCAGATGGGGCTCATCCAACTGGGAAGGTAGCCCATCCAGGAGAAGAATGACTTTGATCCTAAACCTTGTGGGATATCTTCAGGAGGAGAAAAGGCTAAGGAGTACACCTGACAAATCTGGAGTGGAGTCGCTATTACGGTTGGGTGATACTTTGTACGCCTCCTTCTGGCAACTTCTGCAGTGCCACATGTATTGCTCTGCTTTCCTTTGGACGACATGAGTGAGGCCAAGAGGGGTCTTGTTTTCCGGGCACTGGTAAACCATGCTACGCCACTGGAACTATTTTGCTCAATTCTCATTTAACTGCCATTAGAGTGCTTTCTTGGGGGGGTGATATTTTGCACGCATAATATTTATGTCCTTTTTGCTTGCTCATTTGCAAATATTTGTTTGAGGTCTGTGATCGTTCAGGTCAGTGAAAGACACAATACTGAGTGAGAAAAGAGATTCATCTTCAAAAATAAAAATGTGTAGAAAGCGGAACGCATTTGTCATGGCTTCCTCTTCAATACACTGTAGCAGTAGACACGTTTCCTCGACGCATACACGCAACTACCATCTGTGCATATTCCCTCAGAGAGTACAGAAAAGATGGAAGGCTGCAATTAGATTTTTTTTAAAAAAAGCTCAGTTTTGTGTAGAACATGCCAATACAGCATGCCAAAGAAGAGTTTTTCCTCCCTCCTATCTTCCTGTACACTCTCTGTAGCTTAAAGATTTCCCATCATTTAATGTCACACTGTTCTGCGCTTCCATTTCTCTGGAACCACGATAACCAGCTTTAACCAAAGGGCAAGGGGAGATATCACCTAGAGATGCACTTTTACTGGCTCTGTGATCTGATGGATATCGGTGTCTTCCGTCAAAGGATTTATTAACATTTTGTTAACTGAGATAGCATTGTGGAGGCGATGCATCCCTGTTAGGATATTCTCATGAGAGAAGAGTCAATTACATAGGCTCCAGATCTAATCTGGCATTGAACCAGACATTTTTTTGCTATAATGCATTTCATAATGGAAACGTTTGGCATATCAGGGGGAGTGCAGTTAAAAGCAGGAGTGGGCACAGCCAAAGAAGATTGGAGCAGGATCATACCCCCACAGTTTCTGACAACCTCACAGCTCCCTGCACTTTCACACTACTGTGTGAGACTGTTAAAAAGGCCAAAATGTGAAGAACTATTCACAAAAGGATTGGAAAAACAAAAATAATTTCCAGACAGCTCAGCTGTAATTTTCACTGTTCCAGTCCAGGAAGAAAAGACCTTTAAGGATCCTTCCTATTTTTTTTTTCTTTTTAAAATTCATATTTATTTAAAAGCATTTATAAACTACTTAATATTTTTAAAATCTCTAAGCATCACACTTTTTTAAAAAAAAATTCATTAAAAATACAGCCTAAATCCAGAAAAACAGCAATATAAAAGCAGATAAAACAGGAATAAGGGGATTCAGACACTTAAAACAGGCTCCATTCTTAAGGGTCAGGGAAAGCCTGGGTAAAATGGTACATCTTTTAGAAGCAGGGCTGTCTTAAGCATATCAGGCGCCAGGGTGCAAAGATCCACCTTGCGCCTCCCTCCATCGGTTGCCCAGTCCCAGGTGCGCAGGAGAGCAGAGCTGGCCAGCCGCCTCAACGTTTCACTGGCTCGGTCACCCCTGAACTCGCGGCGCAGAGCTGCTCACAGAAGAGCCTGCCGCAGCGCTCCAACCAACGGACAGGCTCTTCCCCGGACTCAACTCTCGGGCCCCAGACTCTCAGCCTGCCGCCCCTGAGAGCCCGGCACCCGGGTGTCCCACACCCCTAGTGCCTATGAGTAAGACGGCTCTGTTTAGAAGACATTGGAACCAATTGATGGTGTGTGTTTTTTAAAAAAGACAATTGTTCATTGCCTTTCTCTCAAAAACATTCAAAGCAGTGTACAATCTTCAGTTCTCAGAATTGTTTTTAAAAAGTTAACACTACTAACAGCACAGTTCTGTATATTGACAAGAAACATTAAAAATGCCTCACACAGCAAATTCAGAGCCATTTCACCCACTACGCAGTGGCAAACAACACCTGGTTGCTTGCATACAAGGTGTGCACTTTTGAAACATAATGTATGAATCGCCACATTATGGGGAATATTAAAATTAAAACAGTCACACAGTTGCCCCAAACCCATGGAAATGGCTACTGATCATGCCTGGAAGGAAAAAACACCCCTCAACCTCTGCATGTCTGTGTGTCTGAGAAGGCGTGATTTGAAAACAGCAGGTTTAAATATGCATATCATGCCATAATACATAATTTGAAAGGAACCTCAAAGGTCATCTAGTCCAGGGACCAAATGTGGCCCTCCAAGATTCATGACCTGGCCCTTGGGACTCTCCTCAGGCCACACCTCTCACTGTCCCTGCTTTTTGCTTGTGTCCCTGAACTCCGAGAATGTCTTGCTTGCCTGAATGGAGAATAGATAGAGGGAGTGTGAGAGCATAGTGGGAAACTAGCTTATTGTACAAAGGTAAAAAATTGCATTTGTTGCTCTGCTCACTTTTGCCTCTGGTTCTTGCATGTGACCCCTGGAAAGTTGCCCAGTAGGGCATGCCTAATTTGGACTGGGTGGCCCACTTCTGAACTATTCAAACGCTTGCAGATGCAGGAAACCCACTATTACAGCACCCCTTAGAAATGGCAATCCAGCATCATCCTTTGCTGAAAGATCTCTAGGAGAAAGAGTCTGCCACATTCTGGATGTTCCACTGTCAAGCAGCATCTTGGAATATCCCCTTTCTTGCAATTTCAACCCTTCCATTTGTGTCCTACCCACAGAAACAATCTTTGGCTCATCACCTGTGTGACAGCCCTTCAAATATTGGAAGCTGGCTATCATATCACCTCTTAATTGTCTCTTCCATACTCTGGGGCAGAGCTGTCAGAGATAAGGCCTGGGGTTCTATCACACACTTTTGGTGCTCCCAGTGCAGCCAGTGGCACCCCTATATATTATTGATCTGCCATCAGGGCTAGGAAGCCAGTGGAGCAAAGGATCTGAATGGCTGACAGCAGCATCACCACTCTTGTCAAATTAACAAGACAGGTGTCAAAGACTATACATAGTGGAGTGTATGGAAAGCAAAGCAGAATTTCAATCTGCCTGTATTTACAGCCAGGGTGTGAAATGGGTGTTGTTGAAGGAGATTCAAACACTCTTCAGGAGATTCAAATTCTTTCCCCATATTAATTGATTCCCAACTCAACAGAATTTTGTATCTATGGAAGCTACTCACTTCAGAACTCTGGAAAATAAGGGTACAGTCAAGGGCAGAAGACGGGGTCCTGGTATTTAGGCCATGCCAGGTCAACCCAACACAGAGGCTTTTGTGTGCCTTTGCAGTGCTCAGCAGTCTGAGCAGACATGCCTCTAAGAAGTTTGGCCATCAGTTTGGTAGGTGGTTTTTGACAAGCCTCATGTAAGGCAGTGGCAAAGGAAGCCTCTTGGGCACCTAGGGTGGTGCACCCAGGGGCAGGGAGAACCACCCATAGAGGCGGGGTGAACCATGGGTGGGGCAAACTGCCCATAGGCACACACACACACACACACACACACACACACACACACACAGAAATCCAGTTGGAGAAACAAGAGGCAACAGTGATCTGCTCCAAGTCCCTTCCTGCAACACACACTTTGTCACACCAGCAAGTGAAGAGAGACTAGCTTTCCCCTTCCTGGGTCCGTGTTGCTTGAGGTACATCATGTACCTAACTCTATGTTGGAGTGGTCCAACTCCTCCAGCCATGCATGCTGTGACAACCCTTTGAACTTCCACCATAATGTAGACACAAGGATGCCAACTGCATGTCAGAATATTGCCTGTTGGTTATAGTCACATCACAGAAGGAAGCTGCAAAAATGGATCCCAAAAGCTAGTGGATGAGTATAATAGTCGATTGATACTGACCATCTAGGGGATAACGTCAAGCTAAGGATCACATTAAGCATAGAGGCCATAGCTCAGTGATAGAGTACATTTTTTGTATGCAAACAGTCCAAGGTTTACTGTGCATTGCTCTCCTTTTTAAAGGCTGCATAAAGTCAAGCTAGGAAATACCTCTTCTTGAGATGTTAGAGAGCAGTTGCCAATTGAAGTGGACAATAATGGGGTAGTAGATAGACTATTGTCTGATGTGGTAGAAAACAACTTCCGATGTCCATTTGCTCAGCAATAAGTTTCCTTGCATAATGTGAACATTCCATATTATCTCATATTAGGTTTGTTTTCATACTTAGCTTTAAGAATTTGCAGAGCTGAATGGACCTTTTGGTGCCTCTTCTCTGTCCGTTGGGATTTTGCTCATGCATGAATGAGCAGGGGAAACTAAACACAATTCTGATTAGTGAATGACCACGGAAGGAGATAGTTAATGGATACGTGTTTCATATTTAGCAGGTTGATTAACCTGCTCATCAATGACTGCATGCTAGGCCAAACACTCTGCACATCATTCAGTGCAGAGTGTGTGTGTGTGTGTGTGCGTGCGTGCACACACGCTTTAATTAAGTACACCTTAAGGTTAGAACAATGCAGCTTACACAGAAAGGAAACAATTTCCTCTTAACACAAGCCCATTCAACACATTCCTTCCTATGCTAAATCTGGCTGCTGCACAATACCGTCTTCTGCAGAAACATTCCCTCCATATCTCCAGGAATTGCTCAGGGAGAATAAACGAACATACGGAGAAGCTTTTGTACCAAGGCTGACAAAATGCTTGACCTTTCCTACCAATCAAGCTAACAGCCAAAGAGAAGTTGTAGAAGGTGGTGAGTACAGCAATCTAATTTGCCTTTCACCAGAGCCCACAGTCCTACCCAAGCCAATGACATACAGGACATAAGAAAAGCACTGCAGGGTCAGACCTAAAGCCAATCTTGTCTAGGGCTGCCATACGTCTGGATTCTCCTGGACATTACTGGGATTTCAAAGGTGTCCGGAGGGGATTTCTGAAAGACGGTACTTTGTCCTGGATCTTAGGTAAGTCAATCGAAAAATTGCATTTCCTTTAAAAAAAAGTCAACAAGTTTTGGGGTGCCCTGGTTTTTACTTTTTGAAATATGGCAACCCTAAAAGGTTTATCCCACAAGGGCAATAGCTCTCGTCCACTGATAAACTATGGAACTAACTCCCTCAAGGTGTAGAGCAGTATTTCCCAAACTTAGGTCTCCAGCTATTTCTGGACTACAACTCCCATCAGCCCTAGCTAGCAAACCAGTGGTCAGGGATGATGGGAGTTGTAGTCCAAAAACAGCTGGAGACCCAAGTTGCAAAACACATGTGTTGCAGTAGCCACCAACTTGATGGCACTGAAATGTGTGAGATGAATGAATGGTTAATGGGACGATATAAAAATTGTCCACAAGCAAATCAGAATGAATGGTAAACATTGTCATATAATCACCCCATAAACAAATTGGAGCTAACGCCAGATAAA